AGATTACACTGTCTTTCCTTGCAAGGCGATTTCCTAACCCAGCCTGCCTGGGCAGAGTTAGAATCTACAGCTGGCACTGCCTGCCCCTGGACTGGGGGTGTAGGCGCTGCGCATCTAGCTCTTCCAGCGGTGCCTGTCCCTTAGTAGGTGGCCAGGAAATGGTTGCAAAGGAAGGGGGTGGGGAGCACAGCCGGAGGAGGTTACCCACATCTTGGTTCAATAGAACACAATTGTTTTGGAAATATAGCTGTTCTGTTTTTCCAGGTATAAGTTTTGTGTGTGTGTGTGTGTGTGTGTGTGTAATTTTCAAAGGACAAAATGCTTACTATTAAAAAAGTGTATTGTAAAAAGTACATATCTCAGCGCCTGCTCTACTCACCTTCTGGCACCTCCTTCTGGGCCCTTTTTAAAAATCAGTATTGCAGAGAGGAGAGAAACAAAAACGGTACTTGATGTACATGACTTCCATCTTACTACATGTAATTTTTCTTAAATACGCGTGCTTTTCCCATCAGTCCTCTGCTGACACTTTGGTTTCTGTCATTTCCTAGTCCATCCTTGAGCACAGGTCCTTGCCTGCCTCCCTGCTCCTGTAGGTTTGAAAGCACAAAGACAAGCCAGGCTTGTGTACTCTTGACTCATTCTGTCCTGGCGACGTCAACTTCTGCAAAATGCAAAGCCTGTGTCATAACACAGAAGCTGTTGAAACGTGTGGGGACCCTGGGAGCCTCTTTCTGCCCTCCCTTTCCCTTTAGAGCTCCATTTGTTTGGTTGTGATGGACAAGGGTGTTGAGCCCTGACGAGTGTGTGTGTGTGTGTGTGTGTGTGTGTGTGTGTGTGTGTGTGTGTGTTGTGTTACTCTGGATCAGCCTGCTGGCTTTCTTACTTCAGGGAAAGCCAAAAAAGGTCACTTCTTTTTTCTAGAACATTGAAATCAGAAGTATGTGTCTCAAGTATGTGTTTAGACTTTCCTGCTAGACTTAATCATTCAAAATGTGGGCAGGGGTGCTGAAAGGAATTTTTAGGGAAAGTATGTAACCAAGTTATGTGAAGCAGATACTTTTTGTACCACAGAAAGTATGTAACCAGGTTATATCACACAGATACTTTTTGTATCACTAGATCAGAGTGCCTTTTTCTTCCTTGAATGTGGTAACCTGTATCTCAGGTTCCCTCCAGATTTGCCCACAGCTGCTGGGTTGTGATGGCCTGGTGATGGATCCACAGTCCCAGGTTAGCTAGCCGCACACAGCTGAAATAAACGAAGGTAATAGCAGGTACGAAGCTATGTATGTTGTGACCAGGCAGTAACACACACCTGTCTGTTTTGGTTTCCCACCCCCCTTTTATGGTACCAGGGATTGAACTTGGGTCCTTGGGTCCTTCAGCTTGCGAGGCAGATGCTGGAACCACTGAGCTAAATTCCATGCCCCTGTTTTGGTAGCTTCTGCCTCTCCCTCCCCTGTGCCTTTAGAGATGACCTGGGCATCCAGAGTTCCTGCTCCAGCATCTGCCTTCTAAGACACAGTTACTGCTCTGTTTAACAGCTTAAAGTGGCTAATGTTGTTCCAAAGGAAGCAAATGCTGTAGAAGGTGTTGATAAAATTCAGTACATACCACTGAAGAAGGGAACCTTTGCAAGTCGTTTTGTCTGCTTTCTGTGGTGGAGTAGTGCGAAAGCATTTTCTGAGACAGTTCCAAATGGCAAAGAAAAACAACCTTATATTTTTAAGACTGCTGTTTCATAACCAAGTAAGGTGCAGCTGTTCTTTCTTCTGTCTCTAGCATATTTTTTTTGCTCTTCCCTTGGTTTTGCTTTTTAAACACACGGGTTTTTGGTTGAAATGACATTTCCGTGTACTTCTTGTCCGGTGGTTGGTATAAAAGATTGTGCAGGCTGCAACATAAGTCCATGTAGTTTCTTCTCAGTCCCTGAAGTTCAAAACCAGACCCTTCCTACCAGCTTGCTTATAATCAGAGCCCCCCCACCCCAGGGACGCGCCTCCCGAGACATCTCAGACCCATTGTTTACCTGAGGATTAAGTTCTGAGCCTCACAGGTCAGAATGACTTTTGAGAAGCTCTTTTCTAAAACTCACCTGTCCTAAGTGGACAGAAGGAGGAAACGAACCCCTGAAAACTGTAGCAGGTGCTGCTTATCACGTAAACCTGGGTGGGCCATGCAGGAGTCTTCCAAACCCTCCCCTCCCATTAACATCACTCAGGTGTGTGTGGGGACAGTTAGGTTCCCCTCACCACTCTGATGAGCTGCTTAGGGCTTTGCAGATGTAAACAAGCCTGAGGGGGGGGTCTCCTCTTATTCTGCCCCTGCTTCCCTCCTTTCCTGATGAACAGCCCCTTTAGTGGTCTGGCACCATCTTTTCCTACTTTCACTTATCGGATCCTTTTTATATCCCAAACACTGTTCTGGGTAGGCTCTGGGGGGAAGAAAGAGATGATCTTTATACTCGAAAATTGACGTGGGGAAGATAAACAAAGAGCAAGCTCAGAAAGTGATGAAAATAGATAAAGCAGGGTTAGTAGCCTATAGCAAGAGCTGGAGGGATTATTAGGTGGGATATTTAAATATGGCCCTGGGGGAGGACACTTGAGATCTGAATGACAAGAAGAAAACCAGCAGGACCGAGAGCTGAGGTGAAAACATTTGCAGGCCAAGAGAACAGCAAGCCAAGGCCCAGGGGTGAGAGAGCAAGTTCAGTGTGTTCAAGTAAGAGAAGATGGTGTGGGTGGACATAAACAGGTAGGAGATATTTACAGAAGTAGGTGTGAGACTGATTACACTGGACCTTGTACATAATCTTTCTCTAAACTGCAAGAAAGTTTACCCTTGTTTCTAATTCCTCACTATGTTACTCTGTCCCCCCTCCCCGGTACTGGTGCTGGAACTCAGGACCTTGCGCTTATAAGGCAGCCACGGTGCCACTGAGCTAAATCCCCTCTCTCCATATGTTTATTAGATCTCACCTGTAGCAGAAAGCTAGCCCTAAGTGGCTTAACCAAGACAGCAAACTGATTACCTTCCATAACCTTCAATCTGGTCTGACGATCCCGGTATGGAAACGATATTGTCATCTCCCCTCCCTTGGCAACGCTTTACTCCTTGGCTTCCTTCTGCCCCTGTGATAGGAAAATGACCACTGACAGTTGCAGGTTTGCCTCCTGCCACCTTCCCGCCCCGGCAGAGTCTGCGTCTGCATTGCTGGCTGAGCCCTGGGTCCCCACACTCAGGTCCAGCCCTGCACCGGTGCCTGATGCTAGATGCAAGGGTGGCCCTGTTCTTTCTCCCAGATGTAGTGGGTGATGTCGTGTCCATCTGAGCCCTGGGCAGGCAGAGTGGGGTTGGGTCCCGCAGGGGATACTGAGGAGCTGTTACAGAAGGATGGAAGAATGGGCCACTAAAACCACGAATCAGCCACTTTCTGCTCCATCTAGCTTCTCTGCCTGGATCGAGCTTTCAGACAAAATGTTCCCGGGGCTTGAGGGGTAGAGGGGAGGAAGTGGGGTTTCCTCCCTCTTAGGGAAAGAAGAAAATGAGGAGGGGGAGAAGAGCCTAATGATTGTATTTTTAACCCAAAACATAGCATGTTGGTTGTGTCTTACAGAGCGTTGGGTTTGCTTCATTCTTCTGTCTCAAGGAGACAAGATTCCATGAACTTCCTCAAAGGCAGGAAAGGACCTTGGTGACATTTTGTTTTGCTTCCTAGTGACTTATTTTTTTGACATGGTGCTGGAGGCCCATCCAGGGCCTTTACATTGAGATGTATCTGCAGCTCTTTTCTTATTTTTATTTTTTCTTTTTGAGGCAAGGTCTTAGTTGTGAAGTCCAGGCTGGACTTGAACTTGTGATCCTCCTGACTCAGCCTTCCAGAGTACTGGGATGATAGGCATATGGCACCATGCTTGGCTGCTAGTGATTTTTGGTGGGGTGTGGGGGGGGTGTGGGGGGTGGCGGCGGAGATGGACTCAGCTCCTTCACACTGAGCTAAATGCCTGGCTTTTTTTTTGAGACAAGTTCTCTCTAAATTGCCCAGGCTGGGCTTGAATGTGTGATCCTCCTGCCTCGGCCTCCCACACTGCTGGGATTACAGGGCTGGGTGACCACGCCTGGCCAATAGTGAGTTCTGAACAATCTGAAGGCCTCTAAGTCAGAGGGCGAGCTATGACGTCAGAGGCTTTCTTAGATAGCAGGAAGCACACCTGTTAACCCAAGTATTCCTAGAAGTTCGCTTCCCTGCCTTCTGCCCCAACAACCCAGAGTTGTCCTAGCCAAGGTCTCACCACAGGCTCCTGCTCCTCTCCTCATTTCTCCAAGATTCCATCTCCTCCTCCTCCTCCTCCTCACCCCCCAGTCCCTGCTCCACCCAGTGTCCGCCCTCGGGTGGAAGCTGCTTGCTCACACGCTGGCCAGCAGTGCCCTGGCAACCTTCCTTGCTCACCAGGGTCTCCGCCGCCTCGCTATGGAATGTTCCCTTTCCCCGTGAAACAGATCCCTCTTTCTGGGTCTCATCTCTCTCACTGTTTCTTCTGCCATTGTGTTCTCTTCTGCTGCCTGCTTTTCTGATAACCTGCGGTCCTCAGAGGTCCGTCCGCAGTCTGGGTGAGATTCTCTAATGGTTCTGGAGGAGAACAACCACAGACTTGTGACTCAATCAGCTGGCTCAGATTCCAGCCCTGAGTTTCAGATCCACTATTGCATCTGAACGTGTCATGGGTTTGTCAAACTAAAAATATCCCAAACTAGGCTTGGTATCTCTCCCAGGCCACCCACCCAAGAGTTTTCCTTCTGGTATTTTTCATCTCTGGTGATAGGGATGGTAGAGGGACCTAGTTACTTAAACTCAAGTCCCAGGAGATGTTGCCGCCACCTTTTTTAAATCTTCCCACCCTTGATAAATTGCCAAATGGCTAGTATTTTTTTTTCTTTGGTGTTACTGAAACTGGTCTCAGACATCTGGTCTCAAGTGACCTTCCTGCTTCAGCCTCCTAAAGAGCTGGTCGGGACTTCAGGTTGCTCTGCATGCTTGGCTGATTTTGTCTCTTAAATATCTTTGGAATCCATTCCTCCTGCCTCTGCCTTCACTCCCTCGTGGCGTTCAAGAGGCCACCTTCCTTCCTTTGCTGCAGAAGCTCCACAGTTGAGGCTGTGGCCCTGCGCAGCCCGCCCGTGGCTACCAGGATGAGCTGTTCCGGAGATCCCACCGTGTCCCTGTCTCCCTCAGAATCCCCCAGTGGCTCCCATTGCCCCTGAGTTGTTTTTTTTTAAACATGTCCAAAAAGCCCCCTGTGCTGCAGTTTCTCTGTTTTAATCTGTCCAGCCTCCTCAGCTTTCTTCCTCCCCGCCTTCTCAGCTCCCCCCGCAAGCCTGGCTGTTCCTCCCTTTTCCCCGTGTTTACTGTCCTTTTTCTTCCATCTGCCTTCCTCTTCTTCATTCCTTCAGTTTTGCTCACGCATCACCCCTCCCTGGAAGCCCTCCGTGACTGGGGCTGAGTTGGGAGCTTCCTTGGTACCCCGGGCCCTGCAGAAGTGCTTATTGCCTTGACCGTGGTGGTGGTTTCTTGGGTGCATCCGTAAGTCTGAACACACCCGAGGTACATGCTGAAGACAGGTAATTTACTGTGTGTCGGTATACTGTTCCTACTCTGTCACTGCACTACCATCCAGTTTATAACACAGTTGATGACATCTCTGGATCCCTGGGTGTTCCTGTACGTGCGCGGTGAATATTTGTGGAGGGTTATACATAAACCTTGATAGTCAGCCATGGGATGTAGCAGTTGGGGTGGCTGCCTTTGGTTTGGGATTAGTTTCAGTTTGGGAGCAGTGTTTCGTCATTTTAATCCGGCATGAAGACAAGGGCTTTTTTCCCATTAAAGATCAGCTGTTTACCCAGATATGAGTAGGAATTTTAAAACCTTCTCTCCTAGACACCATGCCACAAGAAGAGTGAGCTCTTCCTAGTTTTCACAATGGAGGACTCGGGAAAGACTTTCAGCTCCGAGGAAGAAGAAGCAAACTATTGGAAAGATCTAGCGATGAGCTACAAGCAGAGGTGAGTCCTGCCTGCAGAGGAAACTAATTGTCAGTGACTGGGCAATCACTTGCCCTGGGCCATAGGCAGGAGCAGAGCAGGCATCCTAACCATCCTGTGCTGCAGCTCTGCCTTACATTCTGGAAGGGTTTTTAATCAGGTCTGAGTTACCCCAGCTGATTGGTTGCTCAAAGTAGAGAAAAGAACTTTTCTCTGTCTAGAAAAATAGGTTGTTGCAGATTTAAAAATTTGGAACAGATGTTTCAGTGCCCATCTCTGGCAGTAGTGGGTTCTGTGTGTGTGTGTGTGTGTGTGTGTGTGTGTGTGTGTGTGTGTGTGTGTGTAGAGGGCTGTTTGAGGTTGGTTTTTTTACCCCTCATGGACTCTTATACAGTTTACACACGGAGGTCTTATCCAGTCCCTTTACTCTATTTACTCTTAGTTTGGCTTAAACACTTAACAGTTTACCTGGAGCGTCACTCAGGCAGTGTGTTTGTTTACCTACTGATTATCCTGAGCATTGCTCAGGCTGGCATCATTTCAACCAGTTGATTAAATAAATTTGATAAAATTGTTTTTATATTACCTGTTACTGTATAAAAATTAATGAGGGCCGGGGATTTAACTCAGTGGTTCCATTGCCTGCCTCGTAAACACAAGGACCCGAGTTTGATTCCCCAGTACCAAAAAAAAAAAAACAAAAAACAAAATCTGTACACAAACACACACACACATGTATGTATGTATAAAAAAATTAATGAAAAAATATGTAACTTTTGGTCATCCTGTATTTAAATAATTGGACCGGTAAGTGGTCAAAGATAATCCAGAGGATTGGGATACTGCTGGGGTAAGCACTTGCCTAGTATGTGCAGGGTCCTGGATATGATTTCCACCACTACTAAAAAAAAAAGAAAAATGTGAGGGGGTCAGGGGTTTAGCTCAGTGGTGCCACTGCCTGCCTTGCAAGCACAAGTTCCCATTTAACCCCCGGT